TAAAGTTTGTATTTATTTCCTCCGCTACAACAAGGATCTTGTGAGTCTCAAAAACACCATCTGATTAAATCACTAAAAGTTTAAATCTGAAAGGAGTCCTGCTATGATGGTTTAACTCAGGAAACTCACTGCTAGGTGGTCCCCCAAGCTGTCAGTCAGCAGTAGCCGGTCCATCTTTTCAGGAGTCGGCAAGTAATGTTTATATCACCACCTCGCACAGATGTTAAGAGGCATGATAGATGGGGGTGCCTCTGTTCTCCCTCCTCTGTTTGTCTTCTGAATGGACCGAGGTAGACAGAACATGCATCAGTAACTTCATAGTGCATCAGCCTAGCATGTTTATGTCCCAATTTATACAGCGGCCCTGTAGAAATTTGGCACATTAATAAACCATCACAATTTTTAAATACTGTCACCATATTTCTATACAGAGTTATACCACAATACTGTCATACTGCCCACCTAGTATTCTAACATTCTTACATCAAATCAAACTTTCTGCTGAACCAAACATTTGCAATTTTAGATTCTTGACACTAGGAACAAAACCTTTCCAACTTTTATTTTATACTAAAATAATTGCACTTCTTTATGCTCATTAAATACAGCAGTATATTAAATCCATATRCAAAATGCCTTTGCTTACTCCTATATTGAGTTTCCTTGTACGTCTTGTCAGTAGATGTGCACAACTCAAAAGGTGACAAAAATTTAGAAACCTATCTGGAAAAAAAATACCCACTGATTCTGTCACAGAATGACAAAAAAAGACAAAGAGAAATATTTTTTATTCATTTCAGTTAGATGAGTCTACCATGAGATATTAGTTCTCTGCAAACACAATGTGTTGTTCAGCCAGACAGGCAGACGGTGCAGTCTGATACCAATGCAGGACCTTGAAAAAAGGTTCCTTTCATGAAGCTTTTACCAGTAATTTTGTCAGGAGTCACACTGTGCCAGAATGTATCTCAGGGAAAGAATGGCAGCGCAGATGAAAAGTGAGAGTCAGTGAGAGTAAATGGGCCTGACATGGTGAGAGGCTCTCTTGATTCTCTGCAGTCTGCAGCTTCTGTCTGAACAGGCGACAACAAGTTCTCTGTCACTGCCTGAACAGCACTCCCAATGTGAAATCAGTTTACAAAAGATGAGGGAAACCAAGTTGCTAAAGTCCTGAAAAYTGATTGTTTTTAATGGAAAAGATCCAAAGATTTGTTACAGATGATTACTAAATGAGTTAATTTCACAAAATATGGAAGTTAATAACGTTCTTGAAGGGATCCCTGATTAGTTGTAACATTAGACTTTGTTTGATAAACATTTATTTTAATTGTAAAAGAAAGACAGTAAAAATACTGTAGGCTGTTTAGTTTCGTAAATGTTTAAAAATATATTTTAACACGGACAGAGCCATTTTATTTACACACAAAGCATTCTGGGTAAATAATGACGTGGATAGGTCCTCAGTGTGAGCGAGCTATATCCACCCTGAAGGTTAATCTTGGACAATATCTGATGATC